GACGAAGCCTCTTGGATGAGGGGCGAAACGTTTCTTTTTAACAAAAAAAACGAAGTCCAGATGACATGATTCAACCTTTTTTGTTATTGTGGTAAACTGTTGCGGTGAACTTGGATTTAAGAAGCAGAGTTTACAAACACCTGCACCAGACATTGCACCCCAAATCATGACTGAATGTGGATATTGCACACTGGAACTCAAGCAGTATGGGTTCTGTTCCTCACCCTTCTTCCTCCAAACCCTTGGACCTTGAATTCTAAATGAATGGTACACTTTACTTTCATCGGAAAAGAGGATCGAGGAACCCGACAGTTGTAGCCCATCTCCCGGATGCGTCTGAATGTGGTGGTTTTTGAAGCTGTGACTCCCACCTCATTCCACTCTTTCTGGATCTCTGCCATATTCTGGAATCTTCTCTGTCTGATTATCTGCTGAAGCCCACGATCATGTATTTTGCTGGTGCATCTTCTCCTGCCACATTTTGCCCTTCCACTAGACTTTCCATTGATATGCTTGGACACAGCACTCTGTGAACAGCCAGCCTCCTTAGCTATGAACTTTTGTGGCTTACCCATCCTATGGAGGGTATCAATGATGGTCTTCTGGCCAGTTATGTCTGCAGTCTTCCTCATATTGAACCAAACTGAAACAACTGAACCAAACTGAAGCAATTTAATGACACCTGGGGAAACCTGCGTAGGTGCTTTGAGTTTAGTAGATGATTAGTATCACACTAAGTTTAAAACATTCATGTCCTGCAACATTTAGGCTGATTTCTCAACAGTATTCAAGTTGTTTTTTTGTTTTTTTTTCTTGTTTTCGTGGGTTTCATGAGCTGGAAGCCCAAATTATGTAAAAATAAACAAATAAATACTTGAAATTGTTTAAATTGCGGGCCCTGAATCTATCATCTTTTAAAGATTAACTTTTTGAATGAAATTATGGAAGTTAAACAACTTTTCCATGATATTCTAATTTTTTGGAAAGGGTCTGTATATGTATACACACACATACATATGAGTGTACGTGTGTATGTATATATATATACAAAGTGTGTGTATATATATATATATATATATATATATATATACATATGGTAAATGGACTGTACTTATATAGCGCCTTTCTATCTGATCAAGATACTCAAAGCTCTTTACACTACAATCGGTGCCGTCATTTACCCATTCATACAGCACTCTACAGGTTCTTCTCAAAAAATTAGCATATTGTGATAAAGGTCATTGTTTTCTATAATGTAATGATAAAAATGAAACTTTCATATATTTCAGATTCATTGCACACCAACTGAAATATTTCATGTCTTTAGTTGTTTTAATACTGATGATTATGGCATACAGCTCATGAAAACCCAAAATGCCTGTCCCAAAAAATTAGCATATTTTGAAAAGGTTCTCTAAACAAGCTATTAACCTAACCATCTGAATCAACGACGTTACTATAAACACCTGCAAAAGATTCCTAAGGCTTTTAAAAACTCCCAGCCTTGTTCATTACTCAAAACCGCAATCATGGGTAAGACTGCCGACCTGACTGCTGTCCAGAAGGCCATCATTGACACCCTCAAGCAAGAGGGTAAGACACAGAAAGAAATTGCTGAACGAATAGGCTGTTCCCAGAGTGCTGTATCAAGGCACCTCAGTGGGAAGTCTGTGGGAAGGGAAAAGTGTGGCAGAAAACGCTGCACAACGAGAAGAGGTGACTGGACCCTGAGGAGGATTGTGGAGAAGGGCCGATTCCAGACATTGGGGGACATGCGGAAGCAGTGGACTGAGTCTGGAGTAGAAACATCCAGAGCCATCGTTCACAGGCGTGTGCAGGAAATGGGCTACAGGTGCCGCATTCCCCAGGTCAAGCCACTCTTGAACCAGAAACAGCGGCAGAAGCGCCTGACCTGAGCTACAGAGAAGCAGCACTGGACTGTTGCTCAGTGGTCCAAAGTACTTTTTCGGATGAAAGCAAATTTTGCATGTCATTCGGAAATCAAGGTGCCAGAGTCTGGAGGAAGACTGGGGAGAAGGAAATGCCAAAATGCCAGAAGTCCAGTGTGAAGCACCCACAGTCAGTGATGGTCTGGGGTGCCATGTCAGCTGCTGGTGTTGGTCCACTGTGTTTTATCAAGGGCGGGGTCAATGCAGCTAGCTATCAGGAGATTTTGGAGCACTTCATGCTTCCATCTGCTGAAAAGCTTTATGGAGATGAAGATTTCATTTTTCAGCACGACCTGGCACCTGCTCACAGTGCCAAAACCACTGGTAAATGGTTTACTGACCATGGTATTACTGTGCTCAATTGGCCTGCCAACTCTCCTGACCTGAACCCCATAGAGAACCAGTGGGATATTGTGAAGAGAAAGTTGAGAGACGCAAGACCCAACACTCTGGATGAGCTTAAGGCTGCTATCGAAGCATCCTGGGCCTCCATAACACCTCAGCAGTGCCACAGGCTGATTGCCTCCATGCCACGCCACATTCAAGCAGTCATTCATGCAAAAGGATTCCCGACCAAGTATTGAGTGCATAACTGAACATGATTATTTGAAGGTTGGTGTTTTTTGTATTAAAAACACGTCTTTCATTGGTGGGATGAAATATGCTAATTTTTTGGGACAGGCATTTTGGGTTTTCATGAGCTGTATGCCATAATCATCAGTATTAAAACAACTAAAGACCTGAAATATTTCAGTTGGTGTGCAATAAATCTGAAATATATGAAAGTTTCCTTTTATCATTACATTATGGAAAATAATGACCTTTATCACAATATGCTAAATTTTTGAGAAGGCCTGTACTAGATCTCTACAAAGATAATTGAACAAATCATCCTAAAGAGACT